TAAAAAAACAGAAACTAATACTAATCTAACTAATCTAACTATTTCTTATTGTCAAAAAAGAAGAAGAAGAGAGATTTGGTCCCTTTCTTCCAATTATAAAACGAGAATCCCTTCTTCTCCTTTTGCCCTCATTTCTCTCAACCCAAGCAGCACACTGTATATTTTATGTACCATCCTTGAGTTAGAGGGACTTAATTGACCGGAAATAATCTTTAGACTTGTTTGCACATGGTCGTAAATGTTCAAGGACTAGTTCCGTTCAAAAAATGTAAAATTAGAGTCACCCATGAGTGGGTAGATGAGTTGGTAATGGATTCTTCCAGTTTAACTAGAGGTTTTGGTTTCAAGTTTTGCGAATGTAACTCCATTAAAACTCGTGAGGGAGAATTTTACTGCCCGTTGGGTTCTACTTAGTTCGAATCCAAATTAGTCGATGATCCAGTTAATTTTCGAATATTGGATGGTCCATACTTAAAATAAAAAAAAGAGAGGTAAAATTGGAGTCTGAATAAGTGGCTGAGTCAGAGACAACTTTGCTTTCTCAAGTGTAAGAACTTGTTGGGCTACATATCCCTTGCCGTTCGTTGTGCAAAGGCCCAGTCTATTGTTTATGTTCTCTGGCCCAGGAAATCAAATATGAAATATGAATAAAAGGAAAGAATAAATGAAGTTTTTTTTTTTTGATAAAAAAAAATAAATGAAGTTAGGTGCATATTAAATTAAAAAAAGGTTTGACCATGGGTGACACTATCAGCATAGAAAATAATTTGGAACAATTTTTTTGTCACTTTTTGATATAATTTGACATATTATTTAAATTATTAAAATTTTTTATTGATGTAAAATCCGTAATATTGAATACATTTACTTATTTAATAATATATGAAAGTTGTATCAAAAGATGATATTAATAGGTGATATTAATAGGTGATATCAAAACATTGTCTTTATAGCACCGCCCTGTCAGCATAATACGCATGAAAGCAACATTTGAATGATACGATATAGCACCATGAAATGTCCACAATGTGATAATTCACATAATTTTTGAATGAATTACAAAGTGAAAACTTATATTGAATTTTTGGAAGAATAACTCAGTTTCAGGTGTTCATAAAATAAAATATTGGAGGGAATTAAAATCATTGAGAAAATCATTGAGTAAGTCATAAGCGTTGGTGATTTGGATTCTAAATTAGTTAACGACTAAATATTGCAGAAAATAAAACCTCTATAACCTCAATTGACACACTTGGAAGGACAAAGGAGCAATAATCAAATAATACTTAAACACCCGTTCCGTGCATATCTGCCCACTACAAAGGAGAATAACAAATAGAGAGGAAAGAAATCTTTGGCGTCTTATTTCTACGCTAAATATACATATTTCAATAGAAATAACAGTATGATCAGGGGCGGAGGTAGAAATTTTTTTCGGGGGGGGGGGAAATACTAAAATTTTTAAAGTTCAGAAGAGGTTAGATAATTTTTTATATACTAATTTGCAAGATTTTCAAATTCCGAGGGGGTGAGCGCCCCCTCGCACTCCCCGTGGCTCCGCTACTGAATATGACATAACTACCAATTCTTTATTTACCAGTTGCTTAATTGCATGATAGGTGAAGTTTTGTTATGTTAAATCCATTGTTAGTCCATTATCCACATGACATATTTTAAAATTTGGTATGTAAAGTGAAAAAGTTTTAAATTACTTTTATATGTTATTTTATTTATTATTAATTAATTTTTAAATTATATATATATTTACAAAATGGAGGATTAAAATTTTTTTTTTGAACAAAAAAAATATGTTATTAACAAAAGAGTAAATATACATACGAGTTCTATGTAACCTAAATGATGATGAAGCTACCCTATAGCATTGATTACAGAGAAATTTATGCCATAACAACTAAAACACTTTAGGTGTAAGATGCTTAATTATGATTAGAAATTGAGGATTGAATCGGCTATAGGAGGTATTAATAGAGCTACGAACATAATAAGGTCACCTTGACGAGCATTGTTAGCTACTAGATCACTCCTCAGTCATGCCAGCTTCTGGGGAGAGGAAAGTGTCAAGCCAACTACAGTCCCAAATCCATAGTAGGCCCAACATAAATCAATTAACTTGGAGTAGAGCTACTGCCTTTCTCCCAGAGGACTAAGGCAGTACCACTGTTGTCCACAAATATTTTTGTAGCATGCACGTTCCTCCTCATCCAACATCTCAGAGCCACCCTTTCTCTTACCTTAATTGGATTTTAAATATTATTAGTTTATGCTAATATAAGCCATGGTTACTGCTATGCACCATTATGTTAAGGTTCATATTTTAAAATTGATGGAGTGGTTGTAAAAAAAGAAAACCATCATCAATTATGTAGTTCAACATTAAATTTAAAAAAAAAAAGGAAAAAAGTTCTAAAATGTTGTTTTTAAATATTTTTTGAAAACCATCAAGTTCAACCAAATTAATTTAGCATGTTTTTTTCCCCCTTTTACAAATTTTCAATATCTAAAAGCAAAAACAGAGTACAAAAGATGAAAATACCTTACATATATAACAAACTCTAAATAAACTGAGATTGAACACTAGGTATTTGACTTGATTTCAACTTATTTACCTTCATATCTTTCCTAACGTAATGTGCAGTTCTGCATGCTTTTAATCGTATAATTTATCATGTACCAATTAACGTTTATAGAATGACTATTGACATATTTCTCGAATGAATTAAAAAGGAAAAGCTTTATGCCGTCCACTTACTATATATGTATTATATATCTTCAAAAATAAAAAATCAACAAACACTTTTATGTGCAAATCTTGTATGAACAACTTTTACGCGTGTTCTTTTTGTTGAAAATAAAAAATTTTAAATTCAAATCATATAATATGTAGATGAAATCAGATAAAAAATGTAAGAAGTTACTTTCTGTTATATAATCAATATTAAAAAATAAAAAATAAAAAACACTTCCACGTATTGTCATCGAGTATACAAAATTTGGTAACTAGAAATATTGGAGAAAACTAACACGAATGCAAGAGATTTTTTGGTATTTAAAATTACCAAAGGAACCCTGTTAGAGCTAGGTTTTGATCTTGTGAGCTATGGGTTATGGGCCTGCCAGACTTCTGCTGCACCACTCTGATTTGTTTAGGATTATTCGATAAATTAATAGTAATAAAAGTTTTTTTTGTAAACATATTGTTAATTCCCAACAGACACTAGTGAGTTCAAAAAGGGGCTGACAAATAAGTGATTCTGTAAGAACTGAGAAGAAATGGATTGAAATTATATCTAGTTTATCACATTAATTTGAGTATGACACATGATATTTTTATAAGAATAAGATGTTATAATATATATTAAGTTTCAAATGGAAAAAATGTTTATGTTGAATTTTTTTATTAAAATTTATCTTTAGGCACCAAGGATTACTAATCAACAAACACTTTTTGGTTTCTGCATTTTTCAATAGTTATGGGTTTTTTTACCTCATAACCCATAATAATAAATTATTTGATTGAATCAACTAAAACTTTATTTATATATCAAAAACTAAATGAATTGACCTTAAATGTAAGGATATTTAGTTTTAATTTGACTCAACTTAATTCATTCACGTCGCTATAATTTTCATCATAATAAGCATGTAAGTATCATGTATGTATTATCACATTTCTTTACATGTCTATACCATGATTATTGACATAAATCTTGAGTGAATTGTTATGTTAAAAACTAATAAATCCACGTCTTTGTATAAGCAACTTAGATCTGTTCTCATTTTTTTAGTATATAAAAAATAGTGATATAAAAATATTGGAGGAAACTAATAAAACTAATATGTTAACTTGTTAAGATACATTGTTTCATGTTAAACTAGAATTGGAAAGTTTTGATCCTTCTACATAGTTGGTGGTAGTGAAGAATGAAAGATTAAGAGTAATAAATTGATATAGTCCTTGTAAGTAATGTCTTCAACTAGAGTTGACAAATATTTTCTGTATAAACACATTAAACAAAGTATACTAAAATCTTTGATTCGATATCAAAGATTTGCTGTAATCATAAACAATGGAATAAAAATGAAAATGTAGAAATAAATTATCATGATTTTTTTTATTGACTAAATTCTCCTCAATATTTCTCTAATTAAAAAGCCAATCTATAAGTATTTGGCTATAAAAATAAATTCTTTGGGTTAATGCAAAAAATTATAAAGAAAAACTTACTGAATTTTATTCAACACCACTAGAGAGTTTAATGAAACTTTTCTACTTGGTCATTGAAAAGTACAAGTCAGTTGGTAGAAGAGCCCAATGTTATCTCTGCTTAAAGCCTTAAACCTTACTCATGCATGGCAATCTACTCTCACTTGCACAAATTTGCCAAACTTTGACATTGTCTCTGTTTCAGTTCTCCCTAATGTAGTATATTCAGTAACTATTACACAAGATTCAGTCTTAATAACTATCAAATACTTCTGCAAAATGAAGCCTTTAATTTATTGGATCGACACCATATATGAACTTGAGCAGGCAAGTTCGATTCTTCTTTTGGGGGCATTAATTGATATCTCAGCTATTAATTTGGTATCTGCAAAAGGGAAAAAATGATTTTGTGAATTTAGATTTTGAGAATATTTTGATATATGTCCAATGATTGGGTCACTAAAAGCATGATTTTTCAGTAGAATAATCATAAACAAGGATGCAGAGAAGATTTGATAGAGAAAAATGTCTGAATTCAAAGGACACTACTGACATAGCTCTATGTTACATTACCGGCAACTTAAAAGACTAGGACACAAACTTTGGCCTTTTGGCTTTGCTTTGGCAAAAGCGAAGACAACAGCAAAAGAGCCAGCATATGAACATAAAGAATCCATGTCCCACAATATCTTGGTTTGTTCTCACTAAATATTCTAAATTTGAAATCTGTACCAACGTAAGCACCAATGAATTTACATAAATTTCAAAGAAAAGAACAAATTCCCTGCCTCCACCGCAATCCAACTCTACCCCACAGTAGCAATGGATCTTTCACCAACTTGAGCAGAACATGATTGGTTATAAAGAAAAGTGTTTAGTTATTGATAATCTATTTTTCTTTCTTTTTTCTATTTGTTGTTTTCATGCTTTGCATGGCTTGTGTCTTACACAGGAACACATGCATCATATCTCATTGAGCATATAAAGGCCACAGAAGTGTTATCATCAACTAAGAAAGACTGTTCCTTTGCACAAATAAATCTGATTCACAAGATAGGCATTTTACTCTGTATATTCCCACATAAGCAATCAACCCTTCCCCTACTTGAAAGGACCGAATCAACCAATTAAGGCTTGCGATTATCTAAATTTATCTCACTTCAAAGATTCCATGGAAAACAAAAAAAGAAAAGTTGGTTTTTTCCATTGTGGCTGATGGACTTTTCTCCAATTTCTTTAGGAAGGACCACTTAGTAAAAGAACAAGTCCTGAGGGAGAAATCTCCAGATATTCCAAGTGGATTGGTTGAATGATAAGGATTTCGAATATCAGCACCAAGGTGTATCTCAAATCATCACTTTTTTCCCAATGATTCCTAGAAAAGTTGTATCAGTAAACTTCAGCCAATGATCACTGCCATCCAAAGAATATGACTCCTGCAACTTGTCACTATAGGCCACACTCCAATATCTTCTTAATTCTTGTAAAAACCCAAGTCATTTTATTAATCTGCTGAAGAAATTCTCAGTTTATACATACTAAGAATGTAGTCCAAGATTAGAGGCACCATATAGCATAGATTCCCAACTCAAGGGGGAGAGAAGTTTTCCATTCCTATCATTTTAAGTCCTAATTTTGGTGGGAGACTAGGAGCTGTGAATAGACAATACAACAGTCTACTTGCAGGATTTTAATGAAGAGTAGGCCCCCTAACCTGGGACTACCCGAACCAACTTGCAACCTAAAATCCATGCTAGTTACCACCCCCACTGAGTCTGTATTCTTATGCTTATCTAGAGTTGACTTGTTATTCCAAGCAGATATTTAATCTCTCCCAAAGAATTTGGGTGATTTTCTGGATTTAGAAACCTCCTAACAACAGATAAATATAATAGTCTATTAATATCAAACAGATGATAAAATGGTAAATCTCCATATATCAATTGAGAGGTGTCTAGTGTCAAGAGAGGACTTATCTTCAATTAGTATCTGTCCAGTCAACACACAGCTATGAATTACAGATTCAGATGGCAACTTTGATATTCTAAAAAAGAGAGAAATGTTCCCTTCACTTAAATCACATCACATCAGGCAGCATTTACTACTCACTAGTGTAGTGAATGCCTTGCCAGAATTGATTATTGCATAATCTACTGGTAAACCAGATTCTTGTTGACATTTAAGGACTAACTAGAAAAGACTAGAGACAGAAAAGCAACAAGAAATCTGGACTGAGTCACGTACACCCAACTGGGCCATCAAAGCAAAGATTCTGTAACATTATTGCATTACAGTTGCCCATGACTGACCTGATATAATCTCAGGCGTGAATTATGTCCGTGGATCTTCATCGTTGACAGGATTTAGTGAAGAAGAGAGGGTATGAGCCAACTGAACTCGAACCATCGATTATTGCCCAGAGAAGCAAAAGGTTCAAATCGATTTTCAATTCTAATGAGAGGAAACCAAGTTCGGGAAAAGAAAGAAACAATAAGATACAGACTATAACGCACAAAGGCAAAGAACAAGTGTGCAATTATGTAAGCCAATATTTCTGAATTGAGCACCCCTGCCTGGAGTAAAGCCAACTACAAAATATAACAGATCATCAATGGAGATATAACAATTCTGAATCCTATTTGTCCTTTGGAAGTGTTTGGCACATCAAGAGAATAAAAAGTGACACAGAATAATTCACCCTCCACTCCCTTCTTTTTTTTGACCCTCACCCTCCTCTTTGATATCCGTTTATCACATTTTATGTTGCTTCATTTATCCCAAACCGTGTTCCTATATATACTATAATATATAGCAGGATTACATACTCATCCTGCATGATTTGACTGAATAATTCTCTTAAGCATTTGTTAATTCTTAGAAGCGTGAGGTTTCTTCTTTCCATTAATGTTGATATTTTTCTGATTGACATGACAGGATAAATCAATATTATCACATGAAAATTGTCCATTAAGGCATTAACCTTTCAATTTCTAATCTAAAAGTTCAAGATTCTAATGCTGCTTTTGTTTTTTTTTATCCTTAGCAAACGGATTTTGAATCAGAGGTTGGTTAATGCAACCTTCGACTAGAAAAGTAAGCATCCCAAAGAGGGTCCCATTGTTAGGTAACCATATATGTTGACCTTTCCTAGAAAATAAAGACACAAAATTATGGTTGTACAAAGTCATATGGCCAGCTAGAATGCTTGGAATGTTGTTCAGGACAGCGTATACACACTAACGAAATCAGCTCCACAAAAATGCTTCTCTTTAGTGAAACTGTGCAAGTACTATTTTGATCAAAATTTTCAAAGGCAACTGCCATTGTTGGTGCACATGTGAAATTTCTTGTACGGCCACTGAAGATTGATAACTGATTCCAGGCTTCCAGCCATGGACCCCTCTTTCCCAGAAGGCATGCAATAAAGGGGAATAAAAATACGCAGAGGGCAATTCAAATCTTTGTTCAAAAAACCTTAACCGATGTGTGAACTTACTTTGGGATTTCTTCCTTGTTGTTTTGTCAGTAGTCCCAGGCGCCATTGCTTGTCCTGTGAGAGGCTGCCTCTCTCTGATCATGCAATTTTTTTATCTTGCTGTCCTTGAAGGCTGAAAGAATTTTTTTTTTTTTTTTTTTTAATAATCTTCCTGGATGAAGATATCGCCACTAAAACTTTTGTTAAAAACACAAATTTAACTGTAATTTTATTAATTTGTAATTTTTTAAATAAATAAATAATTATAATATTTAAAAATATTTATTTATTTTAATATATTAAATAATAAATATTAATTATTTTATTAATTTTTAACTAATTTATTTATTTTATTTTCTTTTAAACAGTGTGAAATTCTTTTTCGGGAAAAAGAGAAAAGAGCTTTGGGATTTGATCTCAAGCTCTTTAATTCTAAGTATGTCCCGGCAGAGGGTGGTCATTAGACTACCAAATGTTGGACAATTTTTAACTAATTTAACTATCAAATTAAAATAAAATTTAAATAACTTTTTATAGTTTTAACAAATTTATTAACGAACATATGCATAGCACCAATTCTCACGTATATTTGCAATTGCAAAGATTCCTCCAATGGGCGGCGGGAGTTTCCATAAACCAAAAACCATGTGTGTTATGTTGAATAAATGTATTTTACAAAAAGAGGGAAGAGCTTTTTACTGTTTTTGGGACTTTTTATGTGCTTTATAAAATCAGCTTCATGTGATTAACATGAAAAATTTACTACTTGGAGATATAATATTTAGACAATGCAGGAAGTGATTATAATAGTTTTATTTAGTCCTATGAGATTACTGCTAATCCTGAGCTGTTGCTCTTCCTTTTTGTCCTGCTTTATTTTGTGGTTCCTAAAGAGACAAATCATTATTATTCTTGGAACACTTAGCCAAGATTTCCATGCCAACTAGCACCACTACCCCACTTGACCCCATCTCTTCTGCTTATAAAGAGCAGCCACTGCAGCCTAACTCAGCGTCCATCCCCTTGACTATATCCTCCTCACTATTAATTCTTTCCCCTGTATCTTCCCATTTCATTTCCTCATTCTCTACCTAAGAGAAATACCTCTCAAGAGTTATACTTTGATAAGTTTCTTGTCCTAAGAAGAAATGGCATCACGTTCAATGTCTTCTCGGGGTTCTGGCTCCTGGACTGCCGAGGAAAACAAGGCTTTTGAGAAGGCCCTAGCGGTGTACGACAAGGACACGCCTGACCGTTGGAATAATGTTGCCAAGGCCGTTGGAGGGAAAACACCGGAGGAAGTGAAAAGGCATTACGAGCTCCTGGTGGAGGATGTCAAGCACATTGAGTCAGGCCAAGTGCCCTTCCCCAACTACAGGACTGCTGGTGGGAGTAGTCATAGCCAATGAAGAGAAAAGGTATCGTACCTAAATGAAAAACTCACTTACCTAAAACAAGAAGATAGATAAAACCACCTAATCTTATCTGCCATCAATAAATTCAAGCTTTTCTATTTGTATTGGCCTACAAAATAAATCTTGCATGTCCTGACTTTTCATATGCATGCCCTCCCACAATTAAAGGGACTCCCAGTTAGGTCTAACTATCGACTTTTTATGGATTCTCTGACTTATTTACTTAGAGGGGGGCCATAAAGTAGTATCTACCCCACTTATTTAACTGCTACTGTGTAAGCCAAAACTTCTTAGATTTCTGTTCCTAAACCTTGCCTTTTAACTATATTAATTCACAATAAACTCATCTGCATAATTTAAGTTATAAAAGAAACTGGAAGCATGCATCTTCCATCATTGAGGCTGACCAGTAACCTGTTTACTTTTCTGATGATATGCAGGATGAAAAATCTAGGGCTCCATTGAACTCAAGGCTTGCCCTGTCAGGTCACCTGCAATAAAGATCCATTACCCCAGCTTCAAATATCAGATATAGTCATCTTATAAATAGTAGTATGTACGAGAAGAATCCAGTACTAGTGTTTCTATCTTCTCTTCTCATTTCCAGTTATGATCTCTCTATTTCTTTTGACAATTAAATGCATTTATTATTAAACATATAGAGGAAGAGACATAGAAATTGTCACTTACTTCCTCACATGTTTTATGGTGTAAGAAATTCTGTTGTTGAAGAATATATCTATATATATCCTGTGTGTTACAGTTTATAACAGCACTTGCATTACAATATCACAATTATAATAACTGAAACAATTGAAGAACAGGAAGTGATATTACCTTGAATGCTGTTTTGTTAGCAGACAGAAAGAAGAGCAAGCAAAAAAAAGGTGGGGTGGGGGGAAGGGAGCAGGGAGGAGAGGCGGGAAGATAATTAATTTAAAATTAATTAGGGAATAGGAAATTGGCTTAGGGACTTAGGAACCACATGTTGCCACACGGCCAGTTGAACACCACCTATATATTGTCTCCATTACAGATGTTACCATCACTTTTATGTTTGCTACTCTTTTTCTTTCCTTGTCTTTTCATTTTTTACTTGTACTACCCCATGCTCCCCACTCTACAGTTTAATATATTTATATATTTATTTATTTATTTTTAACTTCTGTATCTTTCAATGAGGTAGGCTGTTTAATGGCTTTGTAGGGTACAAAAGCAAGTTAAAAAGCACAGAATTTCACTCCATATCTGTAATTCCTTCTACCAGTAATTCAAATTCTAACAAAGATAACTAACCCTTTTTCCGCTAATAGCAAATTTTAATAATTTATATACTCTTTAGTTTAACATATTTTATAATATTTATT